TAACTAATGGCTTTCGATATGTATGGATTATAGTTTAAAAATCAAAACTCATGTGTGTGTGTCAAAATCATATATTACCCTTCAACATTTCAGCCAGAATTTCTAGTAATTAGACGTGCAAATATAGTGTACAAGCAAATTACTTCATGTTTTTAAGGTTGTATTCATCACGGAGTGACATCATTTGAGGAAGCATTGAGAACCTTGGAGCAGTGGATAGCTGTTTCGTCCTAGTTAAAGACTCCTCAGTAGTATGCACCCACTACCCAGAACCTCCAGGTTTCACGGCGAACACTGTAAACGTTCACCCAGTGGGCTGGAGTTCAGTAGACCACAGTTCCTGACATCTGTCAATTCGTGATACAAAATGACTATCCACCGAGATATTCATTTGGGGCCTGAAAACTGACAGAAGTAAGAAACTGTGGATTCACAAGAAACTACACACTTTTACTTATTCTATGAAAACAATGTGAAAATCATTCAAACTTAACGCTCAACAGTGGATATATATACGAAGGGCAAGCTGCCATTACTAGTCTTTCCATGCGCATATATCAATTCACCTGTTCCTTGTGAAGCTAAATACATAAGCTGAACGCAGAGATAGAATATACATCTCCAACTCTTTCAACCGTGGCTCAGGAAAACTGAACACAAATTGATCAAGGGTTAACAACAGATACGCGGTTCTAGAAGGTTCATATGTAGTAGTCTACAGGGTATGAGATAGTCTTCCTAAGGGTAAGAAGAAGAGTTTGCTTTTCGCTGCTGAAGCTCTGTCAGTGCAGAGATTAAAACCGTAATTGTATAGCTAGAAGTAAGTTTACCATTCATTGCCCTTAGTTACTGGTTAGTGGTTCAGACATTTCAATTCCCAAGCTTAACCGACTTTTCTTATCTTGGTGTTGTTATTAAGTGTGTTTAGCTCAGCTACTAATTTGTTATATCCTTCTACATTGAAAGCTACTTGCTCGGTTTGTTACAAATTCTTCAGTTTTTGATTTTAGCTCAAATTTACAAAAGGAAACAATCTGTACGAAGAATATTCTTCTCAACAAAAATTCTCTTCAGATTATAAAATCCATTTGTACAGCGTTAAAACAAGCCATGTTAAATAGAGACACATTTTCAAAATGGTGTGAGATTTAGTGATTGTAGGGAAATCAATTAATCTTTTTGAAATTTGCCAATATTAGGATGATACATATACAGAAGAATGATATGATGGTGAGCAAAAAGATAAGGAATAAGATGGCAGGAGTGGCCTTTAATTTACTGAAGGCCAAGAGAGAAGTGATGCTTCAACATGATCTCTCTGAATACAGAGTTCAGGCCTGGTGAATCTTATTGTGACTGCTTCCGCTGTGTTGAGCAAACGGCAGCAAGCTACACGTGATGTCGTTTTTGGAACACGACGAATGACATTGAAAGCTTTATTAACATCTATGTGATATCCTGTGTTGACTAGATGCGCTAGAATTGAACTGTTCACCACTCTCAATTATCCCTTTCTGAATCAAGCTGGTAAATGCTGTAATATCAAGAGACGCACCTGCCTGATTATATGCCCTATGTAACTAGCTCCACAGAAACAGTTAAATTGATATATGCTAGATGAAGAGATAAGATTAGGTGGGCTATCTTTTAGTCTCGAGATGAGAATTAGTCAATTACTGAGTGATCTGCAAAACTAACGTGCATAAAACGCCGTATTGACTTCTCTAGCCAGGCTTTGTGATAGAATGTCACATGCAACATCTCTCTTGAATTGTGAAAGCAGAAAGCTAAGGCTTCTTCTCCTCTGTCATAAGTTCACGTTTAGGACCAATGTAGTTGATGTTAGCTTTTTGAACTTATCCAGATATCTGTTTTCACTTAGAATGTCATGAATACACAGTAGTTTTTTTTCCATACACTGCTTGGAAAAAATTGATCTTACTGTGAAAGCTAGGCACCTCATCATATTACGTTTGTACTTTATCGGTGCGAAGCTGAGAACGTGTGTATACTGTGCTTCAGACGTTGGTTTCTTATATATACTTTTCAGTATAAAGCCATCTTTATTTCTTGTTATTGGCACATCAAGAAATTGTATCAAATAATTGGTAGATGAGCACTGTTGAAATGGATCAGAATGGAATTAATACATATGCACTTATCAACGAATAAAAAAGTATTATCCATTTATTGACAGTACAAATTGATATTAGCAGTTTGATCTTCCAATTTTGCCAAAACTTTATCTGCAAATTTTGGGCCCAATGGAGATCCAATAGCCACTCTATCAACTTGTCTGTACTGTTGAAGATGAACTTGACATTTATTGCGGATTTTAGCAATACTTCTTTCAAATTCATAATCGGAATCCCAGTGTCTAACTGCCTCTCCAATAACTGTTCACAAATGTAATCAACGATTTCTACTAGAAGGACGTTGGTAAACAAAGATGTAACATCTAGGGATTCCATGGATTTGTTGAAACATTCAAGTTTTTTATTTTGTCTACATACTGAAAGGTGTCTTTCATGCTATGTTTCGCTAACTGGTCAGACAAAGGTTTAATTAATCATACTAGCCATTTAGCTATAGGATGGTCAGGCAAACTGGTCATGTCTAGGATAGGTCGAAGAGGCACCTCAAGTTTGCGTATTTTTGGTAGACCATATATCTGTGGAATCGTACTGTCTAAAGGTTTCAAATTTTCAAATAAGGTTGATGAAACGCATACGTCATCTTTCAATTTCTTTAATGAGACGATTAGGTTCATTTCTGCCTTTTAAAACCCATGTTTCTCACATTGATAAATATTGACGGTTTTAACCATCACTTGTGTACCCTAATTAATTATGTAAATGTGATTGTACAGCTGCTGAGAATAATATCGTCAGGAATAATATTTTCACTGAAGGCTTTCCTGTTGATAAACTAGTTAACTGTATCCATGAAATGGTCTCTTTTTTTTAATCTTTATCGATGTACTGTTCTCATGTCGACTTCTGTTAGGGACAAAATAAATGAAGATAGATAAAGTTCAGTAAAATGTTTCATTGTTATTGCTCGTATGACACCGTCATTTATTGGACCGAATTGATGAGTCTCTGTTGGCATATGGGCTCTTGTTCGGATGCCTCGATATTGCCTGTGTTTTAATTATGTATTGTAATGATGGGCAGTGGCTAGCAGTGGAATCCAAGAATCCATTTCTTGTGCGACGGGCTATCATGGTTCGGTGGTGCAGTGGATGACGCTCTCGAGTTTGAAGCGATAGCTCCCGAGTCCGAGTCCTGGTGGGAACAATATCACTCACTGGGTGGCAGGTGCATCCAGCTGACTAGTGAGTCCCAAATAGGACGAAATGCGCATCCTGGATTCCACTGCTAGCAACTGCACATCATTACTATACAAAATGTTTCATTACTGAAAAGTGCCGTACTAGAATGTAAAAGATGCCCAGTGCTTTCAGGTTTTCAATGCTTCCTCAACTGATATCAGTTTATGATAAAAAATAACTTGAAATTGTTTCATGTTAGATTTTTTTAAAAGTCAGTCGTGAATAGTATATAGAAAACGGTCACTGAATGCTAACTGATCAAAGGAACAGTTCGGTGTCAAAATGGTAACCTCTTAGTTGATATTCAGTATTTTACAGATGATAATGTTGAACATTTTAGCTTGGTTTAAGTTAAGTATGCAGTTAGGTGTCCAGTAGTATTGTAGAATTACTGAATTTCTAAAATAAATCTTATGTTGAGTAAATAATTTAATTCCTTTCACTAAAAGTCGATATATCAACAATTGTTTACCTCATATCCCTCCAGATATTTATTTTTTAGCAGTACCTAACACTTTAATCCACAAATCACTTTATTTTCGATGATCAAACCATAAGTTAAATTTACCAGAATTCGAGTGAGTGATGGTGTTCGAAGTGAAACACACTGAATATTCATCATTTCACAGATTGCTTCCTTACTCTTTTTAAACTACTGGGAAATGAAATCCGCCTCTTTTGATGTGCATATTAGCAATTTATAAGACTTTATAACTTCATTATTCTGTAAGCTGAAACGAATCAATCATGTAATTATTACATTATTACTCAAACCCAGTACCCATCACTTAAAGCATCACGTGTCATTTACTAGGCCATTCAGGCATGACTGACGCCACTTGTGCAACGGGTATCAGTTGTCTATCGATTTTGATGTGCAATTACATCCAGTTGACGAGTCCATAATCAGACAAAATCAACATCCTGGATTCCATCCCTAACCAAGGATGTTGAAAGTCTGACTTCCTCACCTGTAGCACTGCATAAAGCTGATTATTATTATTATTATTGTTATTATTATTATTATTTGTTTTTTGGGTTCCTAGTGGAACATAGGGATTCAGAAGCACGCCTCCATTCCACTCTCTTCCCCTCAGTCTTTTCAATCTGGCACCACAACTGCCTGCCCACAAGATTTCATTTCTTCCTCACACCATCTCCTCCATGTCACTCTCGGCTGAGATGCCCAACTCATTGTTTCCCCTTTGGATTCCACTCGACGGCCTGGCCTAGTGCGTGATGTCCCCAATCGGCCTTCTCAGTGTATGTCCAATCCATCTCCACTTTCTTCCACATATTTGTTGGATGATAGTTTCTTGGTTGTTTCGTTAGGAGGCCAGAGTTCCTTGTTGCTTATTCTTTCTGGCAATCTGATCTTCAATATGGAGTGAGCGTCCTCCATGTCACGCTTGGACGCGCAACTCGTCGTTTCCCCTTTGGATTCCACTCGAGGGGCTGGCCTGGTGCGTGATGTCCCTAATCGGCCTTCTCAGTGTATGCTCAGTCCATTTCCGAACCGAACTGACTGATCTGTGCTAATATGTAGACATCTAAATATAGTTCTGTTCGTATTGTCATCAGTTTCAGTTTCATGATATTTATTTGTATCTTTGATATTATTGAATTATTATTGTCATATTTTCCTCATATATTTATTTACTTCTAGTAAAAGCAGATGTTTACCCACCGAAATTATTAACTCTTCCAACAAATGTTAGAATGCCTACAAATCGGAATCCATCAGTTATTGATGCAGTCGATTCAACACAATTACAAGAGAAAACTGTAATTGGACATATCTCAGGAATGGGGACTTTTACTAATCCTATCGATTTGACAGATAAAAAATTATATACAGAAAATGGCATTTTTATTGAATGTACAACATCATGTGCATCATCAGTTAAAGGGATTCATTGGAGGGCGCAGAATTCAGTAAGTTTTTTTAAATTTCATTTAAATGACTATAATGCCATTTATTTCGTTTCATCCTGTTATATGACTGTTAAACTTTGAAGTTAAAGTAGACCATATGAAGCGGTTATAAGGTTTTGTTTATGAGTATCTTCGTAGCACAGTTAGCATACGGTGAGATCACCACGTGAGCAGTGTAGAGGTTAAGAGAAGGGTATTAAGCAAGGGAGACAAGTCAGTCGATAAGATTGTGAAGCTTCAGTGACTGAGGTAGTTTGGATATGTACAGTACATGCTGAGCCACCGCCTACCTCGACATGATATTCTAGGGGAAGTTGGATTAGGTTGGAACAGGGACCAGGGTGGTCAGACCAAGACATAGTACAAGTCGATGAAGTGTGTGGCTCTTCCTCTGAACTGTGTAGAGAAATATAGACTACCTGAATGGGGTGCCCGAGAAGAAAGAAATAAGTGGTTGAGAACTGACCCTTAGTGACTTAACTGAAAATTCGTTACAGTGGTGCAGTTGTATTCATTCCTTGACATTGAAAGTTTGAATATGTTGACTAACCTTAATTTTTAGATTCCTTCACTTCACATACACCTTTGTTTACTTTGATATCAGTCTATTTCTATTCACTTCCTCTTTGTGTACTACTGTGTGATGTGGCAACTTGAACTGATGTGTATGTGTGCAAAGTTCTGCGTTGATTTTGTCTGTCTGTTTGACTATATGAGGTAGTCATTGGTTTAGTAGATCTAAATAATACAGTTTGATGATTGAAGGTAAAAATGAAATCCGAAGTTATGACAATTTGAATCTGGAGCTTCTGTGTTATCGTTCCAGTGTTCTGTCAACTCAGCTACGAGCCCCTGCTACTAACTAGGTCTTAGTTTTATTTCAGTCACCGAGGCTTTTTTCTGGCTGCCAGACGAATCCGTGACACGTCATTGTCTGTCTATCATAATCACACTGGCTACTCAGAAAGTTCTTATCTGAATCCAAAATCTGAGCTGAAATATAGAAATGGAACATCATGCTGATTATTGATGAGACTAACTGATATATCCATACTTTAGCTGACTGATCTTATGGATACTGGGTGATGAATGAAGATGAGACAAAAATTTGAAGGTTACTCGCTTGAATCTTCTTCTAACCCAAATTCTCATTTCTCCTTTAATCATCAAGCATTATCTATAAAGTCTGGGTAGTGATGTTTCATGTCAATTCACTGGTGAAGGAAGTGTCTTCAAGAGATAGACGGTGATATTAACATAGAATCCTCATGGAATCCAGTTCATAATAAGAATGAAAGTGTTCATATGAATTCAGTAACAGTAGATATTATGAATTAAGTACTGCTGATAGTTTTATTGGTATAAATTATGGAAATGGATAGTTTAAAGTATGATACCGATGAATTATCATAGTAGAAGTTTAATTGAATTATTTTCAATTTAATCACAAGGTTTTTTGTGAATAATTGGTGATTTAAATGTAGATTAACAGACTTACTATAGAGTTCTGCGTGTTTAATATCCAGCACACAACTTCACTATCAAATGAAAAACGATAGTAGAGAGTATATCTTTGTGGTATATTATATATATACATATAAGTGCAAAAGTATTTCCAACAAACTACAGACATTCATCAACAGCTGCTGCCTACGCTTACTCGATACTGAAGATAAGATAGATGGCCGGAAAGAATAAGCAACAAGGAACTCTGGCCTCCTAACGAAACAACCAAGAAACTATCATCCAACAAATATGTGGAAGAAAGTGGAGATGGATTGGACATACACTGAGAAGGCCGATTGGGGACATCACGCACTAGGCCAGGCCGTCGAGTGGAATCCAAAGGGGAAACAATGAGTTGGGCATCTCAGCCGAGAGTGACATGGAGGAGATGGTGTGAGGAAGAAATGAAATCTTGTGGGCAGGCAGTTGTGGTGCCAGATTGAAAAGACTGAGGGGAAGAGAGTGGAATGGAGGCGTGCTTCTGAATCCCTATGTTCCACTAGGAACCCAAAAACAAATAATAATAATTAATAATATATAGGGTGACCCTTGAACAATAACCGTAGACTTCATGCTTGAGGATCACTTGGTTCCTCGAAAACTGAAAAGAGGCGACAGAAATGAAAAAAGGTTTATTGTCAAATCGAAGATGTACAAAAAGTGATGGCTCATATCAGATTTTTTTATGATCATTGGTATCTTCTGTATTTTTCTAGAAAGTTCTATGGCTAATCTGAAACTCATACATATAATCACGTGGTTTTTCATAAACGTTTGGCGTATCATCATTAGTTGTGAAGTGATTTCAGGAAATTCTAGGCTTCTTTGAGGAATCTAGGGGATATTGTCGCACTCCATACCAGTAAGTTAGCTGGTTCATGGGTGAATTCGATCAATTCTAACTTGTACAACTAAAGTATAAGTATGATATGACCACTAAAGACAGAAAATATGAAGTAGTTAAATATATTCCAAGATAGATTTTTCATTACAGCCCAACAACAACTGAAGAATGGATGTCGATGAAGGAGTTATTTGATAAATGTGGCTTTCAAGTCTGAAAATATTCATCATTTAGTGAAATCATCTATTTCTTAGTCAAAATTCAGAAATTTTTGAAAACTTGATTCATAATTGAAAGAAAGTAACGAGATAATTCCCGTAAACCAGTGGAAGTTCACTGATTACTTGGATTAGTCACTGAAGAGAAACCAGTTTCATTTTATCTTGTCCTGAGCTCTGACCGAATTCCGTCGATCCCTTTTTATGTTACCACTGAACTAGCAAACTTAACCTTATGGTGCATTTTCATTGTCGTCATTTGGTCGAAGGCAATCAGTAGGAAGTTATGGAAGACCTACTTTTTTCTGCTTATTGGTACTCGTCAACAAGGCAAGGGAAATGATGTCCCTCTGTAGGATTCGAAACCGTTTCACCCAGTATTTCGGTTAGATATTGCTGCTGAGCTATTCTGGTCACTAAATTTCATGAACATAACTTTTTTTCACACGACTTACAGATAAAGTTCACTTTTCATAAACTTATTCCCCTTTATCAACTTTACCTGATAAATGTTTTCATCCTTTGTGAAACTATTTTGTTCCCTGTAGTAATGACACTTGTAATTTACCGTTTCTATACAGGGTCGAATCGCTTGATCTCTGTTGGCAGATGGGCTTGGCTACGGATGCCTGGATACTGCTGGATATTCATGATTTTCTACTGATCTTGTTGACTAGCAGAGAAATTCAGGAAGCGCATTTTGTCGTATTTGGGACTAGTCAGCTGGATTCCTTGATTTCTCTGCTAGTCATCAAGATCAATTTAACACCATGAATACCCGGCAGCGTCGAGGCACCCGCGTGAGAGCCCATCTGTCAATAGAGGGTGAGCAATTCTGCCCTTTATAGCAAGGGGAAATTACAAGTATCATTACAATAACTGATACCTTTTGGACAAGATGTATATTACACGTCCCAGTGACCTAGCGGGTAGCGTTTTAGTATTTGAAGAGATGGGAACTGGATTCCAGCCTCAGTGAGGACAACACCAGTCAATGGAGTTCAGGTACCTCCAGTCGAAGAATCCAAAATGGAATGAAACATGCGCTTTGGATTCCTCTGCTAGTCCTAAGATGAACGTAACATATTGTTCCCTGCTAACTGACTCCGTGTCCTTGCAAAAATTATACTCTAATTCTGTTGTTGTATGATATAGGTAAACGTTTTTCAGATTGTAAGGAGCTGATGAGAAACCAGCAAAATAAGATGGTACCATGTTATTCTGCTCCCGTCTTGTTATTTTTTCTTTATTCAGGTTCACTATTATTGAATTCAAAATAAACTGAGATTTTTAAATCCCTTACAGTTTATTAAAATTAATCATCATGAAGAGATAATTTTCGTGTTTAACTGAGTTTCATGTTTATAAGAGCACATTATGATAAACAGTTTAGACCGAAAAATATATCACCGTAATATTGCTACTTCCGATGTAGTTGATCTCCGCTTGTATTGAATGACAATCATATTATATTGCAGAATGAAAAGAGTAGACAATAGTTGACCGCTGGATTTCTACCACTACCATTAGACCTGACAGTCCTGAGCGCAATCCCTAGGGGGATTGTGGTTAAGCACTGTTTAAGAGTTCTAAACTAGGAAAAAATAGCTCTTTGGTGCTCTCAGGTTTTCAGTGGTTCTCCAGCTAAGGAAAACTACTTTCAAAACAATAAATGGATACCAACCAACAGTTGGATCAGTTTGTGTTTATTGATACTTAAAACATTCAGTTGCTTATTAAACTGAACTGATCAGTCTCCGTTAGCCCATAGGCTCATGTATGGATGCATTGATGTTGCCTCGAGACTCATTGTAATATAATTTCATTGATGTTAGCAATAAAATCTACGGAGCACATTTCTTCCTACTTAAGACTCGTCATCTGGATGTACGTGGATTCCAGTGAGTGATGACGTACTCATTGAGACTGGATCACATACACTGTAGTTCCTGAGATGCAGTAGAGTATTCCAAATCTAATCCAGATAATAAAACATTCGCTGACTTATAAGCACAAAAAGTAAATAAAGAACTTTGAACTTTTATTTACATATTGATCAAAAAGGTAGTGAATCTATTTGGCAGTGATACTTTTCCTGGCATTTACCTGTGAAATCTAGAGATTTCTAATCAAATCAATCTGGTTAATTCAAAAACCCTTTTGACAGAATTTGTTTGTCTAAAATGTGATGTGCTATAATGTATGAATCAGAATCTGCCTTTGATATCTTCATGTTATTTCCAGTCATGGAATTTCAAGATAATATCAGCTGTATACTAGAATGGCAGTCAAATCTCTGCCTCAAGTTCATCGACTTTGAAAAGGCCTTCGACAGCGTCGACCGAGAAGTAAGTTGAAAGTTGCTTCAACACTATGGTTTTAGTGTCACAAACATTTATCAACCTCATTCAACAGCTATATGAAGACACCGA